AAATTTCATATTTTTATGATATATTTAAATCGAAGCAGTCAGTTTGATTATATTTATTAAAATATGAGAAGATTAAAAAAACTTATTTTAAAACTACAATGAAACTTTATAAAAATGAGAAGATTAGAAAATAAATTGTTAAAGCACGTAAAATATATTAGACTTTTAAGTTGTTGAGATAACATATTTATTTTGTACTCAATAGCTTGGTTTTAGATTTGCAATTACTTCAGACACAATTTTGATGTCAACAATTGTGTATTTTATCAAATTGCATTTCCAATTCTCAACTTTTGATTATATTATATTCGTAAGAAATTTGAGAACCAAATATATGTAATATGAATAAGTACACAATTTAGGGTTTAGAAATTGCATCGGATGTAATTAGAAATACATGACTAATATGTTGAGTATGAAATAAATGTACTATCTCATCTAATTAGAAGTTCTAATTAGGTTAAGGACTATTTTCAAATTAAAATATTTTGTAGGGATGACTATTTAATTAGGTTATAGGGTATAAAAACATATTTAAACCTATTTTTATTATATTATAAAAGACAAATGATTAAAACAAAATATATCGTTGGGACTTATTATATTACACTAACATTATTTATGATTTTATTATCATTGAGTAAATTTAATTAAGAAAGAGAGATATTTATTTCTTTTAATTTTTTTTCATTTCATTTATAATAATAGTTTCGATGAATATATAAACTACTCTCTTTATCTTTAAAAAAATTTCATATTTCTTTATGTTATGATTAAGAGAAGTTAGCTTTATTCCATTTATTTAAATAGTGATGTAAAATAACAAATACTTCTTTATCCCTATATTAAAATTATATATATTAAGTGTTTATACCATACGGAGTATTACTTAGGAGGATTATTTAATTTAACTTTTGTACTTTATCTTTCTAATTTGACCTATTATTTTAATCAAAGAAGGTTTGCACTGTAACTTGCCATATTTAAGATGTAACTTAAGATTTATAAATATAAATTTATATTAGTTGATATTTCACTATATTGATGCATGAAAATAAAAAAGATGGATGAAGTATGGCTCGATTCTTTTTTCTTCATTTTCGCAATCATACAAAGAAATTTAAAAAAAATGATATTCTTAGAGATGAAGCGATATAACATGGATTTTCACAAAAATATTTCTATAAGGAAAATTAAGATTTGGAGGTCGAGAAACGCGTGAAGATCTGTGACAATTAAAATTTAGATGCAAGAATAATCAGTATTTTAAGGAGAAGTACGAAGAATATCTTATGTGCAGAAGTGAATAAGATTTAGGTTAAACTACAACATCAAAGAGAAATATAATTTTTAAATTGTAACTCTTTGTATTTT